TACCCACTTCTCCCTCCCCTCCACCCCACCCCCCTCATCTCCTCTCCTCTCCTCTCCGGCCCCCTCCGCCCCTCCTGCGCACCTCAGGCCCAGTTATTCAACCAGACGGGCATCAACGTCAATGCGGGTATGTTGGTGCTGTCGTGCTTCGCCGTCATGCTGCCCTCCCTGCTTGACGCCACGCAGTCGGGGGTGAGTGAGTGGGGGGAGGGGGGGTTCGGGTGTGTATGTGTATGGGGGGGGAGAGGTGTGCGAGTGGTAGTATGGGGGGAGGTGGGAGCAGTGGGAGGAGGGGGGGAGAGGGGGGGGGCCGGGGAAGCTGGGAAGGAGATTTCACCCTTTTGTGGGCGGGCTTTCCTTTTTGATAGGGTTTCACGCGAACCAGGTTTGTGTTTCGCATTTCGTTTCCCGCTCTCTCCCCCCAATGCCATCCTTTTTCCTTCCCCACTCGTCAGGCCAAGAGCAACAACCGGTCAGAGCTGGCACTCTCCAGATTTGAGTCTATATTCATGTTCTTGTGCTACTGCGCCTACCTGTTCTTCCAATTAAAAACCCACAGGTGGAGGGCGGGGTGGGGGGTTGGGGGGAGGTGCGGGAAGGGAAGGGGAGTTGGGGGAAGATGGAGCGGTCGGGGGTGGTGGTGGTCCGGAAAGGGGAGGGGGAGGGGTGACTGTTCCGGGGGGCTGGGAGGAGGGGGATTGTAAGGGCTTGTGCGCGCGCGTGTGTGTGTCTGTGTGTAATTGGGTTCGTGTCATGTGTCACCCTCCCCCCCACACACGTCCCGCCACCCGGAAATATCCCCCGCATCTGCAGGCATCTGTTCGAGGAAGACTCCTCCCCCTCGACCCCCGCCGGCGGCGCCGCCGCCACCGGCAGCTCCACTCGTCGTACGTCCAACAACGGCACCTTCACGCCGCCGCTGCAGGCCGGCGGCGAGGCCGACCTCGAAGCGGCCGCCAACGCCGCTGGCGGCGGCGGTAACGGCGCCCTGGCGGTGGGGGTGGCGGCGGCTGTTGGCGGTGGCGGGGTATCTCTGTCACGAAGTTCGTTGGATGGTCGGGACATTTCCCTTGGGGGCCGGTTTAGCAGTCGGCAAGTAGAGATGATGGAAGCAAAGGTAGGTGTGTGTGTTTGTACCTGTCCGTGTCCGTGTGTATGTACGTACGTACGTACGTAAGTACGTACATATGTATGTGTGCCTGTGCGTGTCCGTGTGTGTGTATGTGTGTGATCTACCGCAATCCCCCTCGCGCCCGTCGCTCTATCTGTCCGTCTGTCTGTCTATTACTATTGTCTGTCTGTCTATCAGTCTGCTGCTCTGACGTCCTAAGAGCGCTCACATTCTCGCGGAACGTTCTCGAACCAAACAATTTCCCCCCCCCCCCTTCCCGGGATTCCCCTCGATCCCCCCGTGTTGCCGCCCGTCTCTCCCCCGCAAACCACGCGTCGTACCGTGCCATGTGCCAAATGTACGACTCTTGTACGGCCAACCATCAGCGTACGACAAGTGGTCGCAGCGTCGCCAAGGCTTCCGCCGACCGTGAACGTGACGTGGAGCGGTTGCCGTTGGTGATGGCGGCGAACCGATCGGGGGGGCAGGTGGGAGGGGTGAGTGGATGTAGGTGTGTATGTATGTATGTGTGTATGTGGGAAGCACAAGCGCACGTGGCCGGGCCCTTCCCCCAACCCCAATTCTCGGCAAGGCCCTTACGTAAACACAAAGCCCCAATGCACCGGTGCTTATTCCACAAATGATAATGACCTCTCTCTCTCCCCCTCCCTCCCTCTCTCTCTTTTGACTTTCCCAAGTCGTCGCAAGCTTTTAACCCTTTTCAATTCCGTCACCCACTAATCCGTTTTTGTTTGTGCGTGCCTCTTGTGTGTGTTTGCGCCCAATCCGTGAAAAAGGATCATTCAAAGAATATCGTTGTAGTCGCTGAGATTCGAACACCACCACCACCACCACCACCGGCACTCCCGACATGTATTCGCTTTGCAACCCCCCCCCCGACCCCCCTGAACGTCCCTGATGAAATTGCATGATGATGAGGAACGGGCTGCCGTGTAATCGCCGTACGTTGCCGTCACCACCACCACCACGACCGTAATCATTGCATCACCACCATCATCATCACCACCACCATCACCACCACCATCACCACCACCATCACCACCACCACCATCACCACCACCATCACCACCACCACCATCACCACCACCATCACCATCACCACCATCATCACCATCACCACCATCACCACCATCATCACCACCACCACCATCACCACCACCATCACCACCACCATCACCACCACCACCATCACCACCATCATCGCCCTCGCCACTATGTCTGTGCCCGCCTTCAGGATGACGACGGTGCGGGCTCCGACCACGACGACGACCGTTCGGTTTCGGAGGGCTCCGAGGAGGAGCTGGTGTTGTCTCGCACCGGCTGCTTCCTGTGGCTGGCGGGGGTGACGGTGGTGATCTCGGCGCTATCGGAGTTTGTGACGGACTCGATCAGGGTGGGTGGTGGGTTAGGGCGGTTAGGGCGGTTAGGGCAGTTTTAAGGCAGTTTTTAAGGCAGTTTTAGGGCGGGATAAAAATGCGTGGATATGGAGGAGGAGATGGTGTGTGTGTGAATGTGCGCGTGTGTTTGCCGTATGGATGCACATACACACACACCGGCATGCACATATGTACACACATACGCGCGCATACACACACGCCTTTGCGTGTATACACACATACAGACATACACACATCCCGGGCTTCTCTTCCCGCCCGCAATCCCCCCCTTCCCAAACTTCGGCAATTGGCCTTTGTGTCTTACATGACAAGTTGCATGATAAGCATCCCCCCTCCCACCCTTCCCCCCTTTCCCGCCCCCACATACACATACACATACATACACACGCACACATCCCCGCAGAACGCCTCCAAGTCGCTGCACATCCCAATGCCCTTCCTCACCACCATCCTGCTACCCATAGTGGGCAACGCCGCCGAGCACGCCTCAGCAATCATGTTTGCTTACAAGAACCGCATTGAGATCGCCCTGGGCGTGGCTGTGGGTGAGTATGTATGTATGTGTGTATGTATGTGTGCATGCATGCATGCATGCATGCATGTATGTATGTATGTATGTATGTATGTATGTATGTATGTATGTATGTGGGGCTCCTGTTGAAAGGAAACGTCAACTCGCTCCCACCCGTACTCCCCCACATACATACACATACATACACACTCTCTCTCTTACCGCGCCGCGCCGCGCAGGCAGTAGCACGCAGGTTTCTATGATGGTGGTCCCCTTCTGTGTGCTGCTGGCCTGGACCATGGGATTGCCGTTGGATCTGGATTTCAACGGATTTGAATCATTCGTTTTGTTTGGCTGCGTGCTGCTGGCGGTGCTCGTCATACAGGTGGGTGCCGTACAGGAGGACCTTGGTTGCCTCTGGGTGTGAGGGCCCAGGAGCGGGGGGGAGACGGACGTGGGTTCGTTCGGTCTTGGTGGGTTAGAGGCCCCGTAGGGGGGTTGTCGCTGGGAGGGGAAATGTTCTGGGTGCCCGCTTTGACCGCCGTAACGCCAACTCGCTGTGGCGGCTCCGAAGACAAGTCTATACGAAACAAGTGGTTGTTGGTTGGAGGTTGCGGTTTGGCACAGCGTTATATAATGTGCGCGCGCGGCGGGCGACGGGAAAGAGGGCTTATCATGTTTCTTTTGGAGCACAGGTACTGCAACGTTGTCGCACCTTCTTGAGGAGGGCGGGTATCCTGATGTGCTGCTGCTGCTGCTGCTGCTGCGCATTAACTTCAAAAAAAGCTTACCTAAACGTACGGATTTCCGGTTGGTGGTTGTTTCCGTTGCAGGACGGCCACGCCAACTACCTCAAGGGCATTCTGTTGCTGTTGACGTACTTCTTCGTGTCGGCGGGCTTCTGGTGGGTTCGGTTAAGGAGGGCGGGTGTGTGTGATAGGAGCCGAAGGGGCTGTGTATGTCGTACAAGCGGGTGTAGTACAAGAGATAGCGGCTGGCGCTGTGGGAAGGGGAGGGGGACGCAGGAAGAGCGATATCTACTGTGCATGCGGGACTTTACCTGGTTATAAAGGAAGATTTTTCTTCATAAAAAAAGACATATTACTTTGTGTTCATTACATTTGCCGTACCCTGCTGTTGCCGTTCTCTGCTTCTTTTCCAGGTGCCACAAGGACAAGGACCTCAAGATTGAAGATTGAAAAAAGCAGCCATTAGTACGACAATAGTACGACACATTAGTACGACGACGTGACGAACAGGAGCGTGTGGAAGGCACCCTGGAGGGCGCGGGCAGAGGGGAGAAAGGAAACGGTTAGGGGTTGGGGGGCAAAAGGAGGGCGGGAAAAGAGGGGAGGGAAAGGCGAAGGTGGTCTGAGAAGGACATTCCGGCATCCATTGGTGGAAGTCGGGGAGGTCGATATAACAGAGAGCAGCAAACGACGGTGTGTGTGTTTGTGTGTGTAAAACTACGTGTGTGCGTATGTATGTATGTATGTATGTATGTATGTATGTATGTATGTATGTATGTATGTATGTATGTGTGTGTATGTGTGTATGTATGTATTTGGAGGGCCGGGGAGGGTTGCCCCACTCCTCCCCCCGTTGGCGCCTCTGTTTTATCACACTGACGCACTGACGGTGTGGATGCGTCCGCATTGACAGACAGACAGACAGACGGGTGCTCGTCCCTCGTGAGCTTCAACCGCACCAGATTGATGAGTCTATAACACATACCATAAAACAACTTAAACTCAAGACTCTGCGGGTATTGCAATTGTGTGTATGCGTGCATGTGTGTATGCGTGTGGATACGTCTCTAGGTGGTCGAACCGTGTCTCTCCCGGCGCAAGTGCCGCAATGCATAGCGCGTGCCGTACAATGAAGTACTTTTTGAAGTACTTACTCTAGTAAGCGAGGCGGGGGTGGCCTTCGGACTTAGGCCTCTGTTGATATTGGCGGCGGTGATATTGGTGGTGATGGTGAGGATGATCATCATGATGATGATGGTGGTGGTGATGGGGAGGAGGTTAAGGATGGTGGTGATGGATGCGGAGTTCATGATAATGTAAATGAATATGGAGTTGTGTACTCGCTGAGGGAGGGGGGAAAGAGGACACCACCACCACCACCACCAACAACAACAACAACTAACACCAACAACAAGACGCATTGCAAGATGGGGAGGGCGGGGGAGTTTTGTTTTTGTTGAAACACCGACCAGACCTCGAGTTCGAGCGAACCGGTGTAAGGACTTAGAGCGCCAGACTGCGCTGCGCTGTGCTGTGCGGCTGTTCTCTCTTGAACATTTCTGTGTGTGTGTGTGTGTGTGTGTGTGTGTGTCTGTGCGTGTGTCTGTGTGTGTGTGTGTCTGTGTGTGTGTGTGTGTCTGTGTGTGTGTGTGTGTCTGTGTGTGTGTGTGTGTGTGTGTGTGTGTGTATGGTTGGTTGTGCTCTCTTGCATCCTCCAGGCCTTGCACCTAATACGTTCGTGACAGGGAATATGCTTAGGGGTGTAAAAACATCTGGTAGCTATGGTCCATGTGGTATGTATGTATATATGTGTGCATGGCGCGGACATTTCCCCGATTGACAATAAGCATGATAGTGGTTAATCCCCCGGGGGTGGGGACATGTCTCGCATTCTGTGCTGGTAAGGAGTTGGCCCAGAAGCCTCCCACTCTGTAACAAAAACAACAACAACAACAGACACGTCCTGAGCTGGTAAGGAACTGGAGAAAAGCATTGTTTCGTCGGAACGAAGGTCAAATACGAATGTGTACGTCAGATCATATCTAGAACACCACATTAAAACCAATCCTTCTTATTCTGGTCTACACAAAAAAAGACTAATCAGAACGGCCACAGATCAACAGCATAGTACCCTAACAAGTGTGTTTGGGAGAGTGGGGGAGGGGGCTCTTCGGCTGGGGTGAGAGTCGAGAGAGGTCACGGTGGCCACCTCTAGGGTTGGTAAAGCCATTTACAAATCTTTGAAGTCGCCGGGGGAATATTTGGGGTGGGTGCCAGAGGTACCTCGTCCTCGTCCCCACACGCGGCCGCCACCAGACCGAGGAGTGCCAATTGCTATCGTTGTCCGAGTCTTGGCGTTAGCTATCTCCTCCCCCCTCCAGGACCCGCCGGGGCAGAACCCCCGATATGGACCACCACCACCACCACCACCACCACCACCACCACCACCACCCTCCTTGGGAGATACACTTTTGCGCAACAACTTGCGGGTTCGAGCCAACCCCCTCATATCTTAAATCTAAGGTGCCGCAAACGACACCCTCCGAATGTACGACGCGGACACAGGCACAGCACGCATACGCATACACATACATACATATAGACATAAAGAGGCACACATGAGCGTGACAGCAAAAAGACACATATATCGGATAGTGGGCGGCCCCCCTCCGTACACTTCCGTACAGTTCCCTAACCTGCCGCTTGCCAACGGGCTCCGCCTCGTTCCCAGGAGTGGGAGGACGACCTGCCCGCCTGA